CCTGCCTGCCGTGTACCTGGTAAATCCCAATAAAAGCCTGAAAAGCCACTGAGGACTCCAAGGACTCTCTCCTCCTTGACCCAGTCTGCTGGATTAGAAATCCTGCCCTGTGCCCCTTCCTGCCACTGTAACAGCCTACCTGGTTCTCACTGAGATGGAGCTGGGCCTGCCCTTTCACAAACATGCAGGGAAGGATGTACAATTGGTTGTCGGGCAAATATAGGTTTAAATCACAGGCTGCCACTAACCAGCCAGGGAGGGCGTTCAGAGCAACTTTTCTACACTAAGTCTTGGTCACCTCACCTATAAAATGAAGATAGTGTGACTTCAGGGGCCCTAAGGGGACAATGAAGCACCCCACATTACACACCATAGAAGGCATGACCCTTTGCTGCTTCTACTTACTGAGAAACAAAGTACATCAAGATGGCCAGGATGGAGACTTCTATTTAGAATGATTAAAGACAAGTGATAATGTTGGAAATAAACCAAAATGTCAACTGATATGTTACCCTCCTATATCATGTTTTAGCCTGAATGATTTTTTTTTTCTCTTTGTAGGGAATTGCACGCACACACACACACACCCTGAAAGTGCCAAGCTGCATTTGATTAGTTCTGGGCAGAGGCGTGTCAGGGCATCTGAAAACCACAACTGGAGACTTCTATTCTGATGGGCCTAATGCTCTGGGTATTTCCTTTCAACCGAACTTGGGGGAAAAGTACTTTGATATAATGTACATATGGAAATATTTTACAACCTTCTAAAAAGTTAGATATTTGCTTCAGCATATATATAAAACATACTTTTCTCTTCAATGTGTGCAAAGATGGCTAAATCAATGTCTCAGAGTCCCTTGTCATTTTCAAGCTAGAATTGTTTTTGTTTTGTTAACTCAACCTCACTGCGTACAAAAGGGCCAAGTTGACAGCCCTGGAGACAGTGGTCTTTTCTTGGGCTTCTGGTAGACAGCCGAAGCAGCTGCTGTTTAAAAACACCTCAAGTGCCTCGCCTCTGGAAGGATCACTTTTGGAGGTGAGAAGGTGCTTTGATTTCTTACTCTGAAAAGTGTCTGCGGTGGAGGCCCTGTGTTTGGCTATTTACATGAGCCTTTGGTCCTGAGGTCGAATTTCCCATGTTCAACCAAACTATAACCTGGATCCTGGTTCATATTCTTTTGAAAAGACTAAATAAAGTCTGTTGCTTTAAATGTCATTCCTAATGTTGGAGTAAAACATTCCCTGGAAAAATATTCTTCCATCACAATCGATTAAGAGTGTTTACTTTCAGGGAGAAGGAATAGAGAAAGAAAGAAGATAAGGAGAACATGGCACTAACTTTTTATTTTTTATTTTTATTTATTTATTTATTTTTAAATTTTATTTATTTATTTATTTATTTAAAGATTTATTTTTATTTATTTATACAAGCACTGGGTAGTCAGAAGCGCGGGAGGGTGAGAGGATTCACCAGAGTCAGAGCAGGGAGCAGAACAGGCAGAAGGACCGAAGTACACCGCTGAGGGGAGCAGCGGGCGGCAGGAGAGGTCTGCGCGCCATGTGGGACCCTCCTCCGGTGGCCGGGAGCAGCCGGGGATCGAACCGGCACTGCAGAGGCTGCGGGCAGTTTCGCAACCCAGCGCTCAACCACTGCGCCACCGGGGAGGCCCTAACTTTTTATTTTTTAAACACTTTGTGAATTTTGCAACTTAGAATGTGTCATTTTTTTAAAAAAAAAAAACAAACGGGTTTTATATGTATGATGGTGTTCTCGGCCATTTCTATTATTGATCTTAAGTTTCTGTATTGAAAAACAAAATGCAATGTTTACTTTATAAGCGCAAATTATAAGAACAATTTACAATAAATTACAACTATAAAATTTTTAATATTTAATAGCCAAAACTTGCCAAACACACACCTGTATTTTTTTGTTGCTTTCATAAGGGTATGTGATTTGTGAGGCTCGATGTGAAAGAAAATATCCTGGGTTTGATATTTTATTCATCTAAAAATGTTTCTTTCACAAGATTTTTCTTTCATCATTGAAAGAGTAAACCATTTGCATTTTAAAGCCATGTTTGGCTGTCATGGGAGCAGCCATCTCCATTTCTATGATGTGACATTCCATCGTGCTTACACCATCACAACACTGAGGCAGCTCCTTTTAAATAAGTCTGCCTTGCCATTATGCTTGTGCATGGAGTTTGCAAATCTCAGGACAGCAGACATACATTTTGGCCAAGTACACTGTGATTCCTATAAAAGAGAACTACTGCCCTGCTGTGGCCACTGAGAGGCATTACATGAGGGCTGCTGTCCAAAAAACAGGCTGTTTTTAGCTGCATTGCCACAACTTGCAGGAGAGGCAAAACAAATCTAGTTATTTTCCTTTCAAATTTTTAATATTTCTATGTGTATGATATATATGATAGATATGTTTAATCTCTAGTAATACACAAAATATATTTGATTATATGATATTATAGAGCATGTATAATCAAAGGTTACATGTATACATATATATGTTGCAGAAGTTCATATATATGCATAAACACATATAGAGATATGAACATATATCCACACAAATTCTGCCCCCTCTATAGGGTCTATTTCCTCATCTGAAAAATGCTATCAATAGAACCTACTGATTGGATTATATAAGACACCCTAATGTGCCAATAGATACTAAGTGTTGGTTACCTTATGTCTCTAATCTTCTTTCTGCTCTTTTTCTTCAGAAGATGGTTCAGATCTTTTCCCAATAGAGTTCACTCACACTGAGCTCCATCCACACACCATGGTCCTAACTCTGCTCCATTACCTACCCACGTCCCTCCCTCTGACATCTTCACTCCTTCCCTTTCCACAATTTTCTTCCCTCATCTTTTGTAAACATTCTCAAGTCACACCATCTTTAAAAACCGCTCTCTGCTACCACCTCTGCTTTCTCCCTCCTTTCACACCCAGCCATGGTTTGGGTGAGAGAAATCCAATCTTCATTATCATTTTTTTTTTTATTACCATTCACATCTTCCCTGAGTAACCTGCTCCTCCTGCCACCACTTAATCGTTTCAAACCTTTTCTTACGTATAAAACCAGATGAATTTCAGAAACATTTGCTTTACATTCCTCAGAAAAACTTCCTATGTATAAATGCAAGTCTTGCATAAATTCACTCCATTATTGGTATTATTAGTGACCCCCCCAAAAAAGATTAATATACCTTCCTTACTACACAGCAGAGTAAAACTGCAGATAAGTTCACTATTGAGCAGCAAGGCCCACTTGTATTTAGAATTATATGCTACAATATTTTTAGTGTGAAGTTTACACAATTTCTCAATAACTGAGTTATTAACTAAAAGTGCAAGGTCAATTCATGTTATCCTGTAAAAGGAACATGGGCTTGGGCCTCCCTGGTGGCACAAGGGGTTAAGCACTGCACTATGAAGCAATCCGAAGCCTCTGCAGCACGAGTTCAATTCACATGGCGCAGCAGACCTCTGCTGACTCGCCTGCTGCTCCCCTCAGCAGTGTTTTCAGTCAATCTGTCTGTTCTGTTCCCCACTCTGTCTCTGGTGAATCCTCTCACCCCCACGTCTCTTGCCTGTACCCCAGCTCTTGTATGCATAAATAAATAAATCTTTACCAAAAAAAAATGGGCTCACTAATAAAAAACAGCAACATGGACTCATAAAGGTTACACACACACACACGGATTTTTATAATCCAGTCACTTTTAGCTCTTACTCCAAAAGGAAATTGGCATCTAAAGAATCTCAAAGGAGTCTATAAAAACAAAGAAGCTTTTAGGCCATCATGTCCATCCCCAAAGACTAATTCGCCATCATGTATTTTCATCCACTTGGATTATAATGTAGGTCAGTAAAAAATGATAATGGCTCCACCACGGTGGTAGCAGCAGAATGGAGAGAAGTGGTTGAATTCGATACTACGGCACAGCCCCAAAGAGCTGCTGGTATTTTGTGGAAGCGAAGGATTACCTCAGGAGAGAAAGCAAGGTGACTTAAAGGTTCTGGCTCGAGCGACCTTGGCATTTACGTAGATAGGGATGGCTGAGGGAGCAGCAAAGCAAGTGGAGAACACCTGTTATTTAGAAGAGTATTTTGGTCCCATCGAGGTAGCAGCCTCAGGCGTCCTGTAATGTCTGTTGACTGGATATTTTTAAAAATTCGGTCGTTATTTTTTAAATTTTTAAAAAAGATTTATTTATTTATGCATACAAGAACCAGGGTTCAGGCCAGCAGGGGGTGAGAGGATTCACCAGAGACAGAGCGGGGAGCAGAACAGGCAGATGGACCAAAGACACTGCTGAGGGGAGCAGCGGGCGAGGCAGGAGAGGTCTGCCGCGCCATGTGGGTATCTCCCTGGCCGGCCGGGGCTCGAACTCATGCTGCAGAGGCCGCCGACCGCCTCATAGTTCGGTGCTTAATCCCTTGCGCCACCAGGGAGGCCCCAGGTCATGTTATTTGTAGCAGTTATTAGTAACATCATCACCACCAGGACACCGGGAACCCAGGACTGCCCCAGGCCCTTGAAAGCCGCTAACAGCCGAGGCAGAGCGGCCGGGGCGTCCCCATTCATCCTCGCGGCCTGGGAACCCGGGCGGCGCGCGTCCAATCAGCACGCGGCCGCGCCCGGCGCGTCCAATCAGCGTGCAGGCCCCGTGCGTGCGCGCGTGGGCGGGGCTCGGCGCGCCGCGGCGTCCTGCGCGTCTCTGGCTCGGCCACGTCTGAAGACCCGCAGGTCCTTGAAGGTACAAAAACAAAGAGTTTGGCCCACGGCAAACGTCGTCCTCCTGTTCAGTTTCCATTTCAAAAGTCCAGACAAGCGTCAACAAGACGGCCTCCTCGGCCTGTTTCCTCTACGGGGCGCCCTCCCCCGCCCCGGGGCGCCCGTCCCCGCCCCCCCGCGCGGCGGACCCGCGGGGGCCGCACTGCGCAGGCGCGTGCGCAGGCGCGGGGCGGCGCTTCCGGGCGGCGCGGGCGCGAGTCGCGGCGCCGCCAACATGGAGACGCTGTACCGCGTCCCGTTCCTGGTGCTCGAGTGCCCCAACCTGAAGCTGAAGAAGCCGCCCTGGGTGCACATGCCGTCGGCGATGACGGTGTACGCGCTGGTGGTGGTGTCCTACTTCCTCATCACCGGAGGTAACGGGGGCCCAGACTCTGCCCGGCGCTCCGCGGCTCGCCCCCCGGCCGGGTCCTGCGGGACGCGGCCCCTCGGCCCCGCCGCCTCGGCTGTCCTGTCCCCTGCTGGCCGCTGAGCCTGGGGCTCCGAGGCGAGCAGATTTTTCCAGCCCAGATTTGTTCTTCTTGCTGCTGGCCCTAAGCGGCCTCGCAGGGTCCCGAGGCAATCTGGTCTGGCCCATTCAGCTCCCACGGTCCTCGAGAGGGCTGGGACTGGCAGCTGCCCTTGGCAGACCCTGGAGCTTGGAGGAGTCTGGACAGGCCTTAGGTTGGTCAGCTCGGACCTGAAGGTCCGGGGTTGCTTCCCCCTCCGATCGGCAATTGATATGATTGGAACTTTCCGAGCCCGCGGTTTTGGTAGCTGTTTGAGGTTGGAGGTAGATTTGCAGAAGGGATTGTCTTTCACAGGGCAGGAGCTGAGAACTTAACTAAGGGAAATAGCAGTACGATGTTGTCCTCATTTTGAATTATTCCCCTTACATCTGTCCTTCAAGTGGAAAGGGGCAAAAGGGGCGTGGCTCTACGGAGTGGTGAGTTGGCAGTCCCTCTGCAGTCTCTTCAGAGCCGCCACCCTCTTAAGGCCCAGTTCCAGGATTGACTGGACTCTGCTGCTGTGTTTTTAGGTATTGGGAAGTGGGGTTCTTTTATTGTAAATAAAAACCAAACCCTACAGACTAAGGACAGCCAGTGTGCTTCTGCTTTTTTAAGGGCACCATCATAGACATCTTCGATTACCTACTGTTTTGTGACCTTTGTTGAGAGGAGAGACCGAGACTGAATCAGGGCTTAGTTCTAGACCCTGCCTTTGAATGCATCCTCCTCCCATATCTAGAATATGACAGTCAAGATAAACTCATTTAAATGCATTACACTCTAAGTAGTTTTTCGTGTTGGTAAGATACTATTCTTGCATGACATTAGCATTGATCAGTACAGTAATAGGTACTGTGCTGCATAAGTGAATTTCAAAATGCATGTAGCTTTAAAAAAGAGTGACAGATTCCTCACCTGCTCTCTTCTATTATTCTCATTCCTGTAACTCTTACATTCCATCTGGTCAGAGTCTTTGCTACCTCATTGTTTTCATTCCAGCCACTTGTTCCATTGTCTGCCCTTGGGCAGTGTAAAGGACATGGTCGAGGCCAATGGGGTATCTTGTACAAAGGATGGATTTTGCCACTGGAAAGGAATCTCTCCCCAAAACTGACTGTACACATATTGATGGCTGAGAAATATTCAGCAAATATATACTGAATCCCTATTAAGTTCTAGGCATTAGGTATCGGGGATAACAGTGAAGGAAACTCCAAGACGTAATATTGTTGCGGTGGAGACATGTTAAATATCACATACATTTTATTCCCATTAAATTACTCTTTCTACTACAAATTGTCACAAATGCATTGAAGGTAATGAACAAAGGGGGATGAGAAAACAATGACAGTAAAGTGACATTTAGATTGGAGTGTGATTCCTGAGGACATGACATTGCAGGCTAGCATCTGAGGGTGGGGGTTTTGCTAGGCAGAGGGAAAGTATGGCCAAAAGAGGATACAGAGAGCATTTAGGTGGCTTTAGAACAGGTTGGTGGCACTGCAAATGAGAAGTGTACTGAAAGCTATTTTGGAAGTAGATTCAGTAGCCCTGGATTTGGTGTAAAGGCATCTTACTTATGTCTGGTTTGAACATCTGAGTAGATGCCAGTGTTGTTTTCTGATTTTAAAGAAAGGAAGTTTTTTGGTGGGGAATGGTGAACTTGAGGTCACCGTAAATATATAATAGTTGACGTCATGAACTACAATTAATTGGATTGTCAAGTTTGTAAACGGGAACCTCAAACTGAGAAAAGAGGTCTATGTGAAAGGCATTAACAGATGTTTCCTGAACTCCCTTCTGGAGTCAAATATTGCAGAACAGAGACACGGGCCACTAGAAGCTAATGTCTAAGACTGCTGGTGCGAGAATAATTTGATAGGTCTTGGCACATTGAGATAGGTCATTAGCACAAAGAATTGAAAGGCCTGGGAACGGATGAGTTCAGTTCAGGGGGGAATGCAGAGAAAGACAAGGACAGTGGATCCAGCTCTGAGGGATACCTATTTAGTGTCTTTATCAAGAGGAGCTTCAGCCAGAGATGTAACAAGAAAATGCAAGCATGTTCCAAAAGAGCCATGAGAAACCATTTTCCCTCCCAAGGAAAAGAATTAAGTAAACTGGATCAAGTGCTGCTGGGAAACTTGGAAAGAGGAAGGCTGAAAGGTGTCTGTTAAATTTGGTAACATGGAGGTCATTGGCAACCTTAGCAAGAGTAGTATGAGTGATGGCGGAAACCAGAGGGGCATGAGTTGAATGATGGACAGAAGCTTTACCAAGAATGTTCCCGGAAGGAAGCCTGACTCTCTTTCAAAAAAGCATAGAAATTATGCTAGCTAGGAGGTTCTGGAGTCCAGGCAAGGTTGATGTACAAAGGAGAGGTTGAAAACGGGAGAGATGGCCAAAGGAGCAAAGTGTCTGGGATGGCAAGAGGGGGTGGGATGGTGTAGAAGGGACCCCACACTGCTAGGAGGAGGGCCTCTGAAACAGAGGTAAGAGGTGGTGCCACTTTATGTATGGCAGGAGATTTGGGAATTCCTGAGTGACTGTTTCATAAGTGAAGGGTGAAGGAGACACAGCCTTACCGTGCTTAACAAAAGGTGTGGTGGACCATAACACCTGAGGGGTGTGAACCTGTACCTCTAAACTATACATAGTGTTGTTACCTCAATAAAAAATAATTTAATTTGAAAAGAAATAAGATTTAAAAAAGCCAGCAGTTGGGGCCTTCCTGGTGGCGCACGGGGTTAAGATGCAACGTAGGAAACTGCACAAGTTCGATCCCCGGCCGGGGAGATGCCCACACAGCGCGGCAGACCTCTCCGTATTTGCCCGCTGCCCCCCTCAGCAGTGTATTTCAGTCAGTCTGCCTGTTCTGTTCCCCACTCTGTCTCTGGTGAATCCTCTCACCACCCTCCCTCCCCACACCTCTGGCCTACACCCCAGTTCTTGTATGTATAAGTAAATAAATCTTTTTAAAAATAAATAAATAAAATAAAATAAAAAAGCCAGCAGTGAGGATGTTGGAGAACAGTGGATTAGCTAAACAGTAGATGTTGACAGTGGGAGTTTGAGGAAATTAGTCATGTTGATGGCCATTAATATTAATGGTAACAGTGACTATGACATAATGGTGGTCATTAGCAATCATAAATCATTAATGTGTCATTTAAAATGTCTCCTTACTTTACACTTAAGCAAGCACATATCTCTTGTTACCCCTCAATTTATAGAAACAACACTAAAATACTGAATTAAATTTTAAGTGGTTTATATGAAGTTTAGAAAATTAACTGGCCTTTATTGGATTATAATAATGCAATCAAAAGTCTTATTTAAATATAAATGAACCTTTTGAAAGAGATGAAAACTCTCATCCTATTTTAAATAGGCAATTCAGTTTATATGTTGTCTTTCATATAGGAATCATTTATGACGTGATTGTGGAACCTCCAAGTGTTGGCTCTATGACTGACGAACATGGACATCAGAGACCAGTAGCTTTCTTGGCCTACAGGTAAAAGATATCTTTTGGGATGATTTGCTGGTGGGAAAGAAGGCTGCTGGGGCATGCCTGCTATTTAAAAATACAGTGAGATCTCTGTGGTCCATCTGTATTTAGACAGGAGGTTTTTTTAAATGCTAATAAATTCAGAAATGGCAGAGAGTAGGGCATTTGGAATAAAATATTCCACGATGATACCTCTTTGAAGGAAGACGTCAGTTTAAAATATATTTATAAACTATTCTGGGGATTAGCAAACTATAGGTACATATTTGTAAATAGTGTTGAACTAGGCCTGCTCATTTGCTTATATCCTATCTGTGTCTACTTTCAAGCTACTGTGGTAAGGGTGAGCAAACCATGTGACCTATGAGCTGAAGATACATACTATTTGGCTACTTAAGAAGAAAAAAATCCCCCAACAGAAGACTTGATCAAGAAGATGTGGTCTAGCCACACTATGGAATACTACTCAGCCGTAAGGAAAGATAAAATGCTGCCATTTACAGCAAAATGGGGGAACTTTGAGAGCATTATGTATAGTAAAGCAAGTTGAATGTCAAAGACTGGACATTTGTATAGAGGGTGAACCGACAAAGTGAAATACTTACAGAAACTAGCTGACTTTATATGATATATAGAGGGGGTCTCACTGACAGATCCTGAGGGTTAGGGGCACCTTTAACCATGCCCTCATTTGTGCCCTCTGAATTTTGAACCCGGTGCATTATGTTTTCAATTAAAGCAGTTAGTTAACAGAAAATACTTCACGTACCTTCTTTACAAGGGTGCATCCCTTTAATAGGGAGATTTGCTTTTTGGGGTCCATGAACTCTTGAGAATTTGATGAAAGGTCTGTATCCCTGGAAAAATCACATGAACAGGGTTTATTAATTATTAGCAACCTTCAAGAAATGTTTCTAATCAACTGGAAATTATTTTGAAGTTGACAGGCACAATTTGAGTATGACTTTTTAAAGCCAAACTAAAATTTTGGGGAGAAAGGTTCATGTATCAAATAGTTTTTTTTTTTTTTTTAATATTTATTTATGCATACAAGAGCTGGGGTGCAGCCCAGAGATGCGGGGGGTGTGAGGATTCACCAGAGACAGAGAGAGTGGGGAGCAGAACAGGCAGATTGACTGAAGTACATTACTGAGGGGAGCAGTGGGCGAGTCAGGAGAGGTCTGCTGCACCATGTGGGTCTCCTCCCTGGCCAGGGATCGAACTTGTGCTGCAGTGGCTGCGGACACCTTCATAGTGTTGCATCTTAACTTGCGCCACCAGGGAGGCCCAACAGTTGAAGTTTTAGAATAAGTTTTCAAATGGATGCTCCGTGAAGAGCTCCATGTTTGTTTGGTTCATTGTAATATCCCTGGAACTGAGAGCACTCCTTGATAACACTAAACTCTTCAATGAATATTTTTTGAATGAATGAAAAATGAATATCCAGAAATGTAGTAAAGTCGTTATAAGGATAAGAATAAAGTATGCGCACAAAAATGTTTTAGCAGAATTGGGAATCTCAATCTAAGGACAAAGTTTGATGTTTTTCTGGGAATTTTCATTTACTGTTTTGTTCTGGTCTTTCTTTTTCAGAGTCAATGGACAATACATTATGGAAGGACTCGCGTCCAGCTTCCTATTTACAATGGGAGGTTTAGGTTTCATAATCCTGGACCGATCCAATGCACCAAATATTCCAAAACTCAATAGATTCCTTCTTCTCTTCATTGGATTCGTCTGTGTCCTGTTGAGTTTTTTCATGGCGAGGGTATTCATGAGAATGAAGCTACCGTAAGTTATTAAGTGCTTTGTCTAATCAGCAACTCAACTGCTGTTGCAAACTGTAAAATAATTACCTGGATAACAAAAAGTCTTAAATTAAATTTGGATTTAATCTAACCCTCATTTAAATAGATGAAAAATTCTGAGAACCAAAGAAATTGGTGACTTGCTCAAGGTTTTCTTTGTTGCTAGTGACAAAGTCGAGATTGTGAGGTCTCCCTGACTTGTCCCCGTGCACGCTTGTGAGAAAATTCAGACATTTTTGCATCACTAACCACCCACTGGAGATGCTGTTGATCTAAAATCTTTTTTGGTTAATCTGTAACATAGAGGATTGCAGTGATAATAACAATATTAGGGATTATTTCCCAGCCATTAATTGCTGCAGCTCTTTGAATATTAGTTTGAAGAAAGCCCATTCAACCTTGGATGAAAAAGGAGAGCTCTTGGCTCTCCAAGAAGATGGGGAAGTAATTATACATATAATTAATATATAACATAATGTATGCATGTAAAATTTATGTGTGTGCGTATGTAAAAGATATATATGTAAAATCATTTTGATTCAGAAAACTTAAAGTATCTTTGAAACAAAAATACATTAGTTTTATGGCAACTTTTATAAATCCATTGGGGGCCATTAATTTGGAGTGTGGACCAGTCTGTGCATACTTCGCTATGTCCTGATTTTACCTGGGGTGGGGGGTGGGGAGGCGTTGGTAAACTGAAGGAACTCTGAGTAAGCATACCACGCCAAAGAAATTCATTTTTTTTTAGTAAATTCATTTTTCAGGGAACATGTTAAATATAGGATTTCAGAAAATCCAAAGATGCTTCTTTCCATAGAAAGGTTTATTATTTTTGTTGCAATGGTGAGGGTCCAAACGAAATGGTGACTTTTAACTTTAAGGTAACATTTCTTTCTTTTTTCCATTCTGTGTTGTTTGCTTGTTTAGCATGTTAGTTTGCAGCTTTATACTTGGATGGGGAAGGGGCAATAAAAATGAGGCCCAATAATGTATAGGGTCAAAATAATGATCATAAGGATTGTCATTTGATTTATTATGAAATTTGGGCACTTTGAAATGTTGTTTCCTTTTCACTCTTTGTGTTTATGAAATGTATTCTACAGAGGCTATCTGATGGGTTAGAGTGCCTTTTGAGAAGGAATCAGTGGAAACTGGATTTGCTCCTGTTAATGAAATTTTAAAGGCTGTACCAATCCTCTGATATGAAATGTGGAAAGGGACGAAAAGCAGCAGATAAGAAGCATCTAGTGAAACCACAGGAAGAACAGGAAGAACATTAAAGCTTGGACTCGACGGTCTTCTTGGCGTCAAAGAGCAAAGCTCTTCACAGTATTTCCCTGATGACCCAGCCTGATGTACCGGCAAGGTTGAGTGGCATTTTCTCCTTAGCTCGTCCTTTCTTCAAGAAAAAAAATACTCCGTTTCTACAACTATGATACTGAATAAAGTGATTATTTTTTACAAACCTCCCTTAACACTTTTTTGGAGATGACATTTCTGATTTTCGGAAACGAAGGTCAAATCAGGAAGTGAGAGCCCCTCGGCCGAGACCCTGGACCCGCTCAGCTTCGTCTCTGGTGCTTTGCCTTTACACCTGTGTGACAGCACGTTACTTTAGACTTGTGTGTGAGACAGCGTTTCCTGAACATGATCTATGAAAGGAGCAGAAATAAATGATTTTTCTAATTAGCACCTCCTGTATTTGTTTTTTAATTGCCTGATGGTATTAACCTTCTTTACTCTTCCTTATTCAGTCCCGTCTTGCAAGCTTTGAGCACATGTAAAACCCGCTCCTGACCAGCCTAATCTCCCCTTCAGTTCTTCTGGCTAGTCCTTTTGGTTCCCCCAGCTTCTAAGTTAATTCTTTTCTACGATCTTTAGGTTTGCAGTAACATTTTCTCTAGGGTGAAATTTTCCTTTCTAATTCCAAAACTGATCTAGATGAAGCCCTTCATTAAGTTTGAAAATTCATTTATTCAAAAAGTTCTCAGTACCTATTCTATGCCAGCCAGCCCTGAGGATTGGGGGCGGGGGTGGGTGGGTATGAATAAGAGATCGGTTTTGTCTTCATAGAGCTTATGTTCTGGTGGAGAATGAGATACAGCAAAGATAAAGCATGTGTATAAGAGGCCAGACACTGGGCAGTGCCCAGACAGACATCAAGCAAGGTCAACTTTTACACCAAAGCTCTAAAAAAGGAAAACTAGACTTGCATGGGCTGGGTTCGCCACCGCCAAGGCTTCCCCTAACTCACTCGTGGTTTTCTCATTTGTTCACATTAAAGGGTTTGGTTAACCTAGATGGACAGAGGGTAACGCAGGTGTCGGCTCCCAGGTCAGCTTCGGCTGTGACTGGCGCGCGAGCAGCTCCGCGAGCCGCCGGCAGGGGGCGCTGGGGCGGCGCGGCTGAGGCCTCGGGGGCGGGGCAGGGCCTCGGCGGCCGAAGAGGGGCCTCGGAAAGGCGGGGTTCGCCAGGGCCGCTGCCCACAGGCGGGGACAGCAGCAGGGGCGCCGCTGAACTCGGGGGTCCCGCGCGGAGAGTGTCCAGTGGTTTCCTGCAGCCATACATCATGACATGCTCGCCAGAGAAGTTTTTGGGTTTTTTTAAAAGATTTATTTTATTTATACACGAACCGGGGTACAGTCAGAGGCACAGGAGGGTGAGAGGATTCCCCAGAGCCAGAGCGGGGAGCAGAGCAGGCAGAAGGACCGAAGTACACTGCTGAGGGGAGCAGCGGGCGGCAGGAGAGGTCTGCGCGCCATGTGGGACCCTCCCAGGCCGGCCGGGATCGAACCGGCGCTGCAGAGGCTGCGGGCAGCTTCGTAGCCCAGTGCTCAACCGCTGCGCCACCAGGGGAAGCCTGGAAGTTTTTGTTTTTGAGCCCAGTTTAGAGAACTAGCCTAGCGCAGTCTTTCTAGGCAGCAAACGAGGCTTGTCTTAAACCCCACTTTATCCAAGAAATGTCCCCCACGTTTCCCAAAAAGGCTTTGTTGTTAAGCTGATGTTGCAAGCGGCGTGTCCGTGCAGCTCGCCACGGCGTCTTCCAGCCGCACGGCCTGTTTTCCATGGACAGAGCTGTCCGGTCCACCCCGGGCTCCCCGCAGCTCCCCCAGGCCGCAGGGCAGCCCCGGGCCATGGGATCCACCACAGCTGCAAGCACCGGCCTTCCCCCGCCCTCCAATGTTGGGGTCCTGCTGCTGCGCCACGGTGATGGCACCCTGGGTGGGGTGTCGTGACTCCCTCTTGAGAGAGAAGGATATGAATCCCGTCAGAAGCCGCCGAGGTAGAAACCACATTTGTTCAATCCAGGCCCTTCTCACCTTTTCCCGAGAGAGCGGGGCGCAGTTTGAAAGCGGAGCTTCGGCGAAAAGCGGGGTACAATCCCCTTTTATATTTCACACTCGTGGCCTGTCTCGGTCACTACTGTCCAGGCTATCTGTAGGTGAACTGCGATTTTATTGTTTTAGAGTCTTTACCATTGCTTATTAATGCATTTGCTGCCACAGATTTGTCTACGAATTGTAGAAGGAATCCCCAAATTCCAGGGCAAAAATTCTAAAATTCTAGGTGAACTGTAATTTTGACACACGATTTGACTTTTCCCATTTCTCCTGGTTGGGAATACACCAGTGCGGTAAGTTTCTTCCTTTGCAGAATAAACGGACTGGACCCGATGATCGTTAACAGCTCCTTTCTCTTTGACCCTCTTTGTTCTTATTTTCAGCCGGTGGATTTTTCTCAGCAGCAGCTGCATCAGTGGCACTTACCCGCAGAGGGGGATCCTGACAGGAATAATGAGCAGCGCTCCTGGGCGCCCCCGCGCACCTTAGCCCGACCCTGCCAGGGCACCAGCTTTAGGTAGCTCTGCCCTTCGGTGGATGGTTTTCAAGGCAGAGGTGTCTGGGGCGCAAGTGCCATTTTACCAAAGAGAAACCTCTCCCTGGGAAACCGGATTGGGGAAGAACAAGACAGTTCCCCACCCTAAGGGCCATGATTTGGACCCAGCGTTATGTGATTAGGTGGCCCAGCTCCTGTATCTTATCTCCTGGGGGCTTCAGGACCTCCTAGGAATTGAGAATCTCCTAGAAAATGTGTCTTCTTAGGGTGACTGTGATCACAGACAGGATCTAGAAGCCAGGGGAAGTTCAGTAACATTTTCAATTTGTACTTAATTACTTTCAATTTAATACTTAGAATCCTGTCTCTACAAACAGATACATACAAATACTATACCCCGCCAACTAACTGATGCTCCAAAACAGTAAATAGAAACATGCAGAGGTTACTGAAACTTTGTTTTCTCAATGCTCTCTTGTAGTTTTCTAATATTATTTCCAATATCACGATTTCAATAAATTGTTTTCTAAACAGCCACATCCAGTGACAGGGTGGTGGGTGTATTACTGTATTTCAACTTCTCTGTTTAAGACATGTCTCAAGATAGGAACTGCACTTTGGCTGGCAATACCACTTCCAACTGTTTCAACAACCCAGTAAAAGTTCATCAAATATTTAAGTAACCTGTCAGAGGTAGGCCAGGACAAGTGGCTGGTTCTTTCATGACTGTGAGCGCACACGTTCCCTCCGAAGGTCACGTTCCCATGGGTGTCAGCACCTCTGCTCTCAGGTGGCCGGAGGTTGAGTGACCCTCGAGGCTATGTCACTGGCTTGCACCACGCCCGTGGTGCCCCCTCCCCGGTGCCACGCCTGGTCAGCACTCTGAGAGCAGATGGACCAGAGAGGGTGAATCCTCACTGCTCCTCTGGGTCTTTGGGGTCCAGCTCATGCCAGCCTCCTTTTCCGTTGCCCTTCCTCCTGTCCCCCTCCCCACAAATGTCACATCATCTGATTGTTACTAAACTAAACCTTTAATAAGGAAATGGCCTGTATATTAAGAGGGCTGGTTGCTTTCCCTGTCATTCAAGTTCATCCTGGATCTCTCCTTTGAGTATGTTAATTAGTGTTTCTGGACAGACAGGGAGTAAACAGGGAGAGGAAAGTGCTGATTCACCAGCCTTAGTACAGCACTCTGTCCCCTAGGACTTTAACCTGCTACAGCCCTAATTTTTGTCCCTAGAGGATTTTCTTTTAATATTCAAAGGTCTGTGTTCCAGGAAGTATAGGTAGTAAGGCCAGCCATGTTCATTGAGCACATACTGTGTGCCTGAATTGTTCACATATTGACCCGCTGCATCCTCACTGTGATGCTATGAGGTAGTGCGATTAGGTTTGTTCTATGGATGAGGAGACTGGGCTCAGAAAGGTCAAGTCACTTTTCAAAGGTTGCACAGCCATTAGGTAATCTCTCTACATAGTGTGCCTCCACAGCTTCTGCTCTTAAGCGTGTTGGAGCTCTTCAGGAACATGTCTTTATTTGACCTCAAAGGAAAAGGAATCTTTATATATATAATATATATATATATATATATATATATATAGTGCGTAGGATTAATTTATTTATGTAGCGAATAAATATTTAAGAAATGGTACTGTCAAATATTCTTCCAGATGCTGATGATATAATAAATAACATTTCAGGGCCTCCCCGGTGGCGCAGCGGTTGAGCGCTGGGTTGCGAAGCTGCCCGCAGCCTCTGCAGCGCCGGTTCGATCCCCAGCTGCTCCCCGGCCACTGGAGGAGGGTCCCGCATGGCGCGCAGACCTCTCCTGCCGCCCGCTGCTCCCCTCAGCAGTGTACTTCGGTCCTTCTGCCTGCTCTGCTCCCTGCTCTGACTCTGGTGAAATCTCTCACCCTCCCGAGCTTCTGACTGTACCCAGTGCTTGTATAAATAAATAAATAAATCTTGAAAAAAAAAAAATAACATTTCGACCTCATGGAGAATATATTCTGAGGGGGAGGCAGAGCCAAACAAAGATAGGTGTGTCAGGTCAACAAATGTCAGGAAGGAAAATGAATTGAGTACAGAAGGAATTAATACCAGTAAACCTAAGTAAACACTACGTGTTATTCTTGCCACCACTCCCACCTAGGTCCGGGGAACCGCCAGACCCATAGCCAGCTGAGGAGGAGCTGACTGCATTTAAAAACTCATCGTACGTGAGATTATGATTCAGGGGAAGGGAAGGACCATTCACAGAAAATTGTGAGCTTATACTCAGCCTGGTGTTTCTGTTTTAAATCCCTCAAGCATTTCTGTAGATTGGGTATTTCCAGCCCAGGTTCCGAGCACAAAACTGAAAAAGATAAAAAATTTCTTTGCTCCTTCATGCATGTTCAAAGTTCTAATACTTTCTTCTCCATGATATTTCCCAAGGATGCTTTTCTCATGGAATAGTTCAGAGACCAACAGGCTGGAAACTGTGTGTCTTGACAGCCGTGAGGCTGTTTGTACTGTCCCCTCCTGGCATCATGATCACTGGCAGGCCCTTATGTCCTGGTCTCTGCCTTGTTAACAGACTAATGGCCCCTCTTGAGGCTGACACGAAATACATTCGCTTATGGAAGTGATATAATCAGACTTTTTTCCATGGTGTTTGTCAGCAGAAGGCGACGTAGGTAGAGTCTTGATAAAAGTGACAGAAGAAGGCAGGGGGAGGGCATGGTGGAGCTAATAGAACAAAGAACTCAAGCCTGAGCCAGGGGCTGCAGGCCCGCCAGTCTCCTGGCAGGCACAGACCACACACGGCCCATTATTCGCCCGCGCAGAAGACTTCCAGTCATTTCCTCCCGGTTCTTAGAATGCACTCCTGTTACTGACAGCGGGATGCCACTGACCGGAGCGTTCGCTCTGGCGCTGAGTCCAGGTAGGGAGGGTGAAGCTCTGAGCATGCAGTGTGTCATTCTGTTCATCCCCTTTGTTCTGGACTTGGAACCACCTGGAATCTGGTTCAACAAGGAATATACCCTGAGCCTCTGAAAAAGCACACTTCAATGCCAAAATGTGATGGGTTTCAACGCCCCGACAAGACCTGTTTGGGTTTGCTTCACCATTTGCAGTCACTTCGGCGCCTCTTTAGAAACAAAGTTTGGGGTGACTCCAGGACTTGTGTAGATGTGGGGGTGTCATCAGATCTCCTGGCTACATAGGCCCTTTGCAATCAGCAGGTGAGTGAGTGTAGGGCAGGGAAGAATAGGTCAGCGCAAGGTCACCCATTTCAAGCCTGGAGGGCAGGGAGGCTGGCTTGGAAAATGCCAGAAATATCTGTGAGAATCAATCCATTCACTTGATAGGTCTCCACATGGGGTCCTGTTGATTGACAGCAGGGTGGCCTGACAGGGTGTGTGTGGGTGGGTGGGCAGGGCAGTCACCTCTTAGGGCACTGACTGCATATCTGGGCAAAGTTGGCCTGCAAATTCAGGGCTCAGATGGCTGAGTATCTAAGGCAGGAGACCCAGCAGGTGCTCAAGTGCCCTATCCTGGGTACTTTGTCTGGTAATCACCACAGAGGGAGTTCCTGGGGGGTGGGCTGAATGCTGTGACTAAAGAGTGTATGATATTTTCTGAAAACCTCAGTTATTTCTTTCTTTCTTTTTAAGAATTTTTAAAAAATGTATTTATACAATAGCTGGAGTACAGGCCAGAGGTGCGAGAGGGTGAGGATTCACCAGAGACAGAGCGGGGAGCAGAACAGGCAGATGACCAAAATACACTGCTGAGGGGAACAGCAGGCGAGACAGGAGAGGTCTGCCGTGCCATGTGGGTATCTCCCTGCCTGGCCAGGAATCGAACCTGGGCTTCAGAGGCTGCAGACAGCTTCACAGCACCGCACTTAACCTGCTGCACCACCAGGGAGGCCCAAACCTCAGTTATTTCTTTTTTTTTTTTTTTTTTTTTTTAAAGTGACAGTCTTTTATTTATTTATTTATTTGTTTGTTTTGTTTATACAAGCACTGGGTACAGTCAGAAGCGCGGGAGGGTGAGAGAATCCACCAGAGCCAGAGCGGGGAGCAGAACAGGCAGAAGGACCGAACTACACTGCTGAGGGGAGCAGCGGGCGGCAGGAGAGGTCTGCGCGCCATGTGGGACCCTCCTCCGGTGGCCGGGAAGCAGCCGGGGATCGAACTGGCGCCGCAGAGGCCGCGGGCAGCTTCGCAACCCAGCGCTCAACCGCTGCGCCACCGGGGAGGCCCAACCTCAGTTATTTCTAATGGAGCATTGTTCACACTCAAGACAAGCAGAAGGCAGCATGTGTGATGTGCTGGGGGGAGCCCAGCCTTGGGGGTTGGAGGTGAAGGAAACCTTCTCCTGGACTGCCAGGCACCTTCTCTTTCTAGTCAGCACCTCCTCTGCCTTCCCAGCTCACTCTCCCTGCAGGCACCATGCCCTCTGCCCAGTGTTCCTGGTTCCTGGTCCACTCCTGGGCACATAATATTGTGTTGGTTACACTCCCTGCCCTTCTAGACTAGCTCACAGGCAAGAACTGGGCCATATTTGGTTTTGCATTCATTACACTATACTTGAATCTTGGAGAGCTACCAACTTTTGTTGAATGAATCAGGGCACTGTACTTCAATGTTTATGTCCCGGCTGACATGGAGGCAAAAGAAGGAGCAGAAAAGTCTCCATACAGCCAGATTCTTGGTGAGTTATGAAGTCAAGATAGAAGTCACTACTGGGTGGGTTTGGAAATGAAACCATGAAGCAAATCCACTAAGACAGAGACCTGACAACCTAGTAGACTACTGAAAAAGGACAAAATCCCATTTGCCTCTGTTGATTAGCTACCAGCCCTTCTGGTGGAGAGTGGTCCTCTACGCTTCTGTTCAGTCAGAGGCCCTGGCTACACCCGTGGGTGCTGTCCACTCCTGGTGCTGCAGCGCTGAGGTGAGGATTCCTGGGTCAGGGGCTTCATCAGCCCAGCCATGGACAACGTGCACAGATGCTTTAATGCACAACAGAGAGGGGCTTTGATGCCCATACTTGAATTCTATTTTCTTAACAATTTACCAGTTACCACAAGCTGACTTATCTATGTGTTTCGTTCATTCATTCATTCCACAAATATTTATAATGAGCACTTACTATTTTCCAGATATTGTTTTAGGTACCCAGTAAGACAATAAACATGAAAGATACATTTTAGATAGAGACAGATGGGTAGAAATGAGAAATATAAAGAAGAAACCAAGTAGAAGAGAAGAATATGTATTTGGGGGATGGCTTACCATTTATGATAGGATGGTCAATGACAGCCTTATGGAGATGGGAACTCTTCAACATAGAAATGGGGGTGATGAGGGAGCCAATTACGGGGAAGAGTATGAGGAGCAAGTACATAGGCCCTGAGGCAGAAGAGGGCCTGTGAGTTCAAGGGGCCAAGGAGCTGGAGTTGAGCGAACAAAGGCAGAAGGCCAGGAGAAAAAAGGTTAGAAGGATAATGTGGGCTCCTGCCACTTTGGCCCTGGTGGGATGTCGCAAGGATTTTGTACTTGAGACGGGGTGAGAAGACACTGGAGGATTTTGAGCAGAAGAGTGACTCAAACTGACACCATTTATAGAAGCAGCCTGGCTGCTGGGGTGAGCACACCATGCTAAAGCAGTTGCAGGGAGAACAGTTAAGAGGCGCCTTGCGATACCACGAGTGAGAGACGACAGTGGCTTAGGTGAGGCCATGAAGACAGGAGCTCCAGGGGCACTGACGGGGGGAGCCACAAGAGAGAGACGATGATGACCCAAGAGAGAAAGCATTTCAAGGGGGAGAGACCCACGGTATCAGGCAAGACCACCTCCCAGGCAAGTCAGGGAGGACTGAGAAATGACCAGTAGGTCGAGCAATGTAGAGGTCACTGGTGACCTTGACAAGAGCAGTTTCAAGGAGTGTGTGCGGTGGGGGACCTGGATGTGAGGTGGTTATGATGGACTGAGGGGAGCGAGGTTGGGTCAGTGGGTGCGGGCAATGCTTTCAAACACTTTTGCTGAAAGGGGTGGAGAGACGGGAGTGTCAGCTAAAGGGACCAGTGGGGTCTAGACTTTTCCGAAGGACAGGCAGACAAGCAGGATGCATGTAAGCTGATGAGACGGATTTACTAGAGAGAGAAAAGTGGATGGTGGAAATGGCAGTGTGAGAAGTGTGGGCAGTGCCCTGAAGCAGGACATGGTGATGGGTGGTGCCTTGACTGTTCTCAGCAGAGCAGGAATCGAGAGTCCACTGAGGGAGCGAGGATGGAGGAGGTGGTGAGATTTCAGGGCAGAAGAGACAAACCAAAACAACCCTTTTCTTGCAAAAGGGCGAACTCTCTACATGTCAGGGAGTTAATTTAATGGAGCAAGAGTCAACAGTGAGCTTCAAGCACAGACAGGTTAACATTTGACAGGATGTTTAAGGGGAATTCAGGTACTGGGCTGCCGGTATAGTGATCCGGTCCTTTCTCAAGTCGAATATTTATTCTTTCAGAAACTTCCACTGGGAAGGATTCTTTTTTTTTAGCATTATACTAACGTGGTACAGTAATGTAAATTTTATGCATATGTATGCCCAAATACATATCAGTACTCATATTTATACATAAGTATCTAAATTTACATAAAGGCTTCAGAATTCCATCTCATCAAGATAATCAACCACAGGTTTCACGCAACTCAAAAGACGAAAGAAACTGAATTCCCTGCAATCTGAAAAATGGAAAGGAGGAAATTTTATCTAGCAGCCTGAGGGGAAGGTCTGCTGTTTTAGAAGCACTGGAAGTCCTCAATAACCCTGAAGAATAATATTCATACGCTCTCGGCACTCAGAGAACTGCTGGGAAATCGCCTCATTAACCTTTACAATCCCCTTGTGGGGTCTGCCGGGACCTGATGAGATTTCCATCCTCGGAGGCGGGCAAATAGAGACAGGGAGGCTTGAGGGCCACGGAGAGGCAGCTCACGGATAAGTAAATCTCGTGTTGAGTCCTGGGAGAGTCATCAGTTTAAGGGCATGAGAATGAATTCAAGTCTATTAATCACCGTAAGATGAGCCAGCCGCTGTTACCGTGTGTCAGAGATCTCCAGAACAGAAAGTCAGGCTGGAGGAAAAGATGAGAAGGGGGGGAAAGAAATGGATTTTCGCAAGTGCTTTCTACGCAGCACTTTTAATTGTCTTAAAAGCAAGGACTGAGCAGCAAGGACTCATCCCTGCGAGCAAGTCCGAGAAGAAAATAAATGCACACTGAACAGGACTAGGCATTCTGAAGTTGCCAAGGGGAGGGGGAGAAACAGAATGCGGCAGAACAGAAGCATCTTACAGGAAGCATGAGAAGGAAGATGGAAAAGCTCTGGAATTCTGAGATCTGGGAAAGCTATTAATCACATGATCGCGAACCCAGTGTGACAGAAAGAATTAATAATCTGCAAAAACTAGCCTTCCTAGTGGGACTCCTCGGTGGCCTCCCGTTAATAACAAGCAGGAGCTAACATTTGATGAGTGTTTCCCACCCTCCCTTAGCACACCACAGGGCCCGATTTCATCCCTATCTCACGCACCTCTGTGATAGAAGAAGGACATCGCACGCTTCTAGTGATGAATAAGGCATGAAGGTAAAGTCACCTGCCCAGAGTCAGCTTACCCAGGCTCCTCATCCAGGCCAGATATTTATGAAATGCCTGCAGTGAGAACAGCAACGGTGCTCAGTAATGAGGGAACTGGCGAGCACCTGGCCTGGCAGGGCCAATGCCAGGTCGAGACGCCGACAAAGCTCACTGAAACAGAGAGCCTCTCTGAGGCTTTCCACCCTCACTCAGATCATTTTTGCTTCCTGGTCTTCTTCTGGGCCTCCCCCACCCCAAGTCCCTGCTGCCTTCATCCTGTCTCTAGCCCCTTAGGTGGTTCCTTCACCTACTGAGACCTTCCCCCAAATGGGCCTTCCCCAAAATGTTAGAGGGGCTGTTTCCAGTACATCTCACCTTGGTGGGTGGCACTAAGGTCAACAGAGGTGTGTGGTGGACCTCAGGGAAGTGCTAGTATGACATTAAAGAACGCAGACTACCCAGTGACAAAGGAATCATCCACGGGGCTGGAGACAAGATGAAGGCAAAGGTGACTTGGGGTGGGGAGGCCCAAAGGAAGACCAGGAAGAAAAGATGATCTGCAAGGGCGGAAGGACTCACAGAAGCTCTAGGATTCAGCGAGCGTTGCCTGCGCCTTGCCCTGGCATCAGCCCTGCCGGGCCAGGTACTCACCCATTCCTTTAGCTGATAAAAATCACCTTTTTATCAGAGAAGCCTGTCTTGAGGCAGGGCCAGTTCTTGTCCATGGACTCACCTCCTCCTGTCTCCTCAATTCCCCAGGCCCCCACCCCATTCTTCAGCTCAGGATAGAAATGCTTGGTGTGTTCCATTTACTCCAGAACTTACAGTTATGTAAATTCTCCAGACATATGTAAGAAGGTTTTTTTTTTTTTAAGATTTATTTATTTATGCATATAAGAACTGCGGTACAGGCCAGAGGTGCGGGGGGTGAGCAGATTCACCAGATACAGAGTGGGGAGCAGAACAGGCAGATCTACTGAAAGACACTGCTGAAATACACAGTGGGTGAGACAGGAGAGGTCTGCTGCTCTATGTGGGTTGGCTCCTGCTGCAGTAGCTGTGGATAGCTTCATTGTGCTGAGATCTAACCCCTTGCGCCACCAGGGAGGCCTGAACAAGGAAGGCTTTTAATGAGCCAGTTGTATGTAGAACACCTGGATGATACGTGGGGCACGCCAAACCCCACACCAAGGTAGGGAGCTTGTCAAGATGACAGCCACACGAAACCATATCCACAGACGCACAGGTCTTTGCTATCCTTTTCTCCCACCCACATCTATAAAGATAATAATAGGAATGATTTCATGCTGGCTTACCACAGCCCAGTAAATCTACTAAGCACTTCATATATACACACACACACACATTACAGTGCCAGAGTGACCTTGAGGGTGAGAACTCAGGCTCAAGGAGTTCCGGTGTCTAACACAGCAGGGCCGTTAGCGCATCCGCCCCAACTCCAGAGCTTGGCACTTCCTGCTCTCCCGCCCTGTGGAAAGGCCACCTACTTTCTACTGGTGATAAAGATGGAAACACTCAGCCCCAAGCTCCCCACTACCTCCCTGAGGGGACTTTCCCAGCAGATGGTCTTCTGAAAGCAGTGAAAGCTTCACTCATCTGTTACAGTAATTACATTTATTTTCTGGAAACCCTTCTAAGTCCCAGGGGCCACAGGGAGAGATGCATTCCTGTTCTGGATGTCATGTGGGAGCATGATCCCGGCCCCTGGTCACTGAAGCCAGCCCCACTCCCTATCCCGGCCCCAAAGACACACCTCCCAGCAAATACTGTAAAACTTCTCTTCTCAGGCCCCACCCCCCTGGGCACTGAAAATGAGAAGAAAATGGCTAACAAAAGTTCCCCCAGCTTGCAAAATTTCAAACTTCAATCCTTTCTAGAGTGTTTATCTCTGCTTAGCCTCTCCCCTTCTCATCCACCAGACCAGGACCTTTATAAAGGTGGGTTTTGTGCTGGTATCAGATACTTTTGGATTGTTCCCATGTTCCCTCTGATGGGTACTAAGTCTCCCTAGGGTGAGCGCCCTCAGGAAGGGACCTTGTTTTTCACGTCCTGCCATGTGCCCAGGGCCTGGTTCTACGCTTGGTGTACGGTAGCAACTCAGAACTATTTGCTGAACGGTCAGACTCCACTACACTGAAGAAAACTCACAAACTACCCTCACTCCTTGGCCCTGGGGCATTTAGGAATTTTGCAAGTAGAGATTACCAGAGAGTAGATCTGCAAAACAGAATCCACATGCAGGAGCCTGGGGATGTAAATTTCTAATAAAAACACCACATGCATCTTAGCATTAGGCACATTTTGGAAATGTGACCCTGGGGGGTTGATTAAATATGTTTCACCTGGTCCAGCATCTGAACGAGTACTTTTCCCTTGTGCCTTAACACTCGTTTATTGAGCAGCTACTATAGTCAATGCCAAGCATTGTCTTTGTCCTGCTATGTTGTTTGCCTTGATTCCCAAACTGTCTTGAGGTTAATACTTTCACTTATTCATTCATTCAACAAACACATATTTAAGGTCCATCATAGGCCATTTGTGCCCAAATATGTTTGACTGAAGGAGGAAATACTGAAGTTATGTCTCTCGTGGCTGTTCTGCTGTTTGCACTGGGGTTAACAGGCAATTTATGGTGGTGGGAGAGAACTGGGGAGGAGGGAGAAGCAGGAAGAGATGCGGCTTGGCCCTCTGTCAGTATTTTGATCATGTTCTGCCCTTGGCAGTGAACAGACTCCGAGGGACTGCCCTGTTCCTTCTTGACCACAAATGTGGTTAGACAAAATATTATGTGCCACAGGGGCATGGCAATCATTACTTTCTCAATACAGAGATGTTCAGGGTGGTGGTCTGTAACTAAGAATGATTTTCTCCTGCTTGTGCAAGAAGACTCATTTAATCTCCAGATCTGTTTTCCTCTTGCCAGTCTGCCCATGACTTCTTAGATGGAATCCTTCTTGCTAGACAGTACTACTTTATTAAGTAGAGTTGGCATGCCAACTGGAATGGCAGACTTGACCCTCTGCAATTTTATGTCTCAGTGGAGGCTTTTATTCATGGGTGTCAAAACCGAGTTAAATAGGTATGAGGATAGGAATTTTCCTCTGGGCTGCAGATCTGTCCTTTGGAAGGTGATGTTTCTGTTGCTGGTGTCTAGGCCATCTTGGTGGCTGGGTGGAAGAATACAGCCCCCACCTCATCCTTAGCTTCCCACTGCTGGCTGGCCCCTTCTCTGCCTTCCCACGCCTGGCATTTAACCTTGCTTTTATCAGCTCTTTGACATCCAAGAGGAAGAAAAGCTGACAAACAACATGTGCTGCAGTGTATCCCTTAATTTTTTAAAGTATTGTGTCAGAGAAGCCACAATTATTACTCAATCATTATTACTCAACTGTTACTATAGTACCAAGTCTGTCCCTCTTCTGCTTCCCTGACCTCCTTCCTTTGGGCATTTCTCCTTGAGCATCTGTTATGTTGGGGGTTCTGTGCTATAGCAAACTGTCTAGTTGGAAAACTCCTCCCAAGGTGTCTGTGGCCCTCGTGCATCAGGCTAACCTGGGGGGCTGGGGAGAAAGACCCAAATGGGCCTAAATCTACTGAATTCAATGCCGGTGTGGCAGGACTGAGGATGCTTTCTTAGCAACCACCCCATGATCTTGAAGCTCACTAAAGTCAAAATGGGTGGAGGAGGAAAGAGATGGAACTCAGCCTTTGGAGTCGTTTGTTGCTAGTGGAGTTACTTCTCCTCCTGGTGTTTTAGTTTCCTCAGCTATAAAATCTGCACACTGACATGAGGAATGGGGATTAAGAAAGGAAGGCACCTTGAAAGACAGTCATTACCTGAAACTAGATACTGAGGAGGATAAGAAGTTGAGTCAACATAATTTTATCGCCTTTTTCTTACCCTAAAATCAGCCCAACTTCCAAAGCAGTGTTTCACTCTAAGCCAGTGATTTTCAGTCTCAGCTGCTCAACAGAGCACCTGGAGAGCTGGAATGTTCGAAAATCCTGACCCCATTCCATCAGCATCTGTGGGGTGGGGCCATGACCACATGATTGTTAAGATTCCCCAGGGGACTCCAGTGTGCATGTGGTATGCATTCCCTTCATCTCCACTCAGTCTCTGTGTCCCACTAAACCCCTGTCAGTTCATTTTTGAGAAACAGCCTGTGGCTACTATGGTATGCTCCTCTACCACCCCAAGATTCAGAGTATTGCACTTTTTGAGTTCTGATGCTGAAGCTTTTGATTGTAAAAGTGGGCATCACATGCAAGTCTGGGTTAGGGCACAAAACAGACTTGGTGAGATGTGTTATTAAGTAACCTTCAAGGAACATGAGTGGACAATGACAGTCTTCACAGAAACAAAACAAAAAAATCCTAAGATTTGTATGGAACCACAAAAGACCTCAAGTAACCAAAATAATCCTAAGAAAAAAGAACAAAAACAAAGGTGGCTTGCTTTCTAGTTTTAAGCTATACCACAAAGCAATAGTAATCAAAACAGTATGGTATGTGGGGGCACATAGATCAGTAAAACGGAATTGAGAGACCAGAAATAAAACCACATATACATGGGCAACTAACGTATGACAAAGGAGCCAAGAACATAGAATGGGGCCTCCCCGATGGCACAGCGGGTTGAGCGCCATGCTATGAAGCTGTCCACAGCCTCTGCAGTGTGGGTTTGATCCCAGCCGGCAAGGATCCCACATGGCGTGGCAGACCTCTCCTGTCATGCCCGCTGCTCCCCTCAGCAGTGTATTTCGGTCATCTGCCTGTTCTGCTTCCTGCTCTGCCTCTGGTGGGTCCTTTCACCCTCCAGCACCTCTGGCCTGTACCCCAGCTCATGTATAAAAATAAATAGATCTAAAAATAAAAAAAAAAGAAACCTCATTTAAAAAAAAACATAGAATGAGGAGGATGAAAGGAATGTCTCCTTGATAAGGTTCCAGGAAAACTGGACAGCCACCAGCAAAAGAATGAATCTA